AGCACAATTTAGGGCTTGTCCTCTAATTTTTGCCCTTTTTATAAAGAAAGGTTTGCTTAAATGAGTGCAGTCTTCATTAGCCTGATAAATGTATGATTTTTTTTGTGATCATGGACAATGGATGTTTTGAATTAATCATTAGTAGAAATGTGAAAGAAATTGCTAATATCTGTTTGACAAAGACCTTATTTTCTCATGATGGTTTCAAAATCTAAAATCTAATTCAAGTGGCACTAGATGAGCCTTTTTATTTTGTACTAACTGGAACCTCCCATCAAATGGATTTTTTGTGTGTTAACAGATTAGGGCAGAATATTATGACAGTGATTTCTGAAGAAAACAGTAACATTGCTTAGTTGTGGGTTCAGTGTTGTTCTGATAATAACACTGAGCTCTCATGCCACGTATTTATTCCTTCAGTTCCTGAAAGAATTTAAAAAGGAAGTATATTATCCCATTTTACAGATGGGGTGACTGATGTACAGTAAGATGAAGGGGTCTGGTCAAGGTCAAAGAGTTATTTTCAGCAGGAAGCATAATCCAGGCCTCCTGCCTTCCAGCCAGTCCCTCAGCTCCTGAGTTACTCTTCCCAGATAAGTGTGCGTGAGGATTGTGAAACCATTGTTTCAGTATTCGTTGCATATATAAGCCAATCCCTACCTTTAACTGCATGCTAAAATCTGATGAGGTGTAAAGAGTACTGATTATTAGGCAATGTTACATTTAGCCCTTTTTCCTTCAGTCCCAATGAAGGAGGCAAGGAGAACAGATGTGGAGGGGAGGAGGCAACAGCATCATGGATCCTAAGGTAAATTCATCCTAACATGATGTCATTCTTCTGTTTACGTACAGCTCTTAAAATGTTTTCCAGACCTATTGTGTAGCTCAGTTGTACTGTCTGCCTAATTTAGATTGAAAGTCCCCTGGTTCAAGGGCCATATCTTTCTCTGTGTTTTGTTCAGTACCAAGCAACTAATAATAAATAACAATAAAATAATTTAAGATCATAAAGTCACATATGCACGAGTGTAAATCACACAGTAATAAGGCTTTAACATTTTCAAAGGAGGTTGCATGATTCATGTGTCAGATGGAAGTTTGCAGATGAAATATGTCCTAATAAGTATTTAACAAACAAAGCTTGGAGCCAAAACTCTTGGGTTCTTTTTCCTCAGCAATACCAACATTCTATTGTTTGACCTATAGCAAAAGCATTGCTTCTTTATTTGGATAAAACAGGATCCACCAACTCACCATGGATGACCCAGCAAGGAAATAAAAAATAAATAAATAAATAAATAAAAATCAGTATTTAAAAAATAGATGGCCAGGCCTGAGAATTTAAAATATTGGTGTATAAAGGAGGAGTGGGTGTTTTGCAAAATGACTTTGTCCCCACTGACCTCCATTTATTGAATAATCACTATGCAGTTTTCATTCAGGGAAGTCACCCACCGAAGACATTGGGAACAGTAAACCTGGATCCTGCTTATATGTAGGATGTTGGTAGTGCAGCAAATATGATAGTTCCAGCTCAACTCAACTGATTTCTGGAAAGATTTGACTTTGGGTGGAATGGAGATAAGGGGATGTAACAGGAGTACCTCTACTAGAGTCTTTCTATCAGTGGTTCCACCCTCCTGTTATGGGCCAACCGCCTGCCTACTCACCTGCCATGCCTTGATCTTAATTGATTAATTAAGAGATGTAATTAGCTGGAGGCTGCCCAAAGTTTTTGCCCCAGTGCCAGGGGGCACTATTTGCAGCTCCTTTTCCTCCCCTACACCGCAGCCCAAGCCTCGCAGATGGTACTGACAGGATTTTGATCTGGACCCTGCTGTAATTTGGCCCTCTCCTTGACTTTCCTGGGCTTCCACCGCCCTGTCTCATCCCGTGCCTTCCTGGTACTCTGCCACCCCTCTCGCCCTGGGGCTTCTTGCTGCCCCCTTTCACCCTGGGGCTGGGGCCAGTGCACCCCAAAAATGCCATGCCCTCTCTCTGGCACCAGGGTCCCCACACTACCGTGGAACCCCTGTGAGGCCTCCTCCAACCCCTAATAGCCTCACTTGGTCCTCCAGATTTATGAAACTACAAATAAAAACTCAAGCCCCTGGGCTATAATGAAAAGTCTCATTCAATCCCTACCAGGGAATTCTCCACCCATAACAGCAGGCAGGAACTGCTTGGGCCATCAGGCTTCTCCACTCTGCTTGCCCTGGCAGAGCTCCTTCTCGCATGGCTGCCAGCGGAGCACTGCCCTCCTAGTCTCACTCCTGGGGTTTATATGTGCCAGGCCCTGCCCCTTCCTGTCAGCTGACTCCCCAGCGGTTGCCCTAGCAACCAGCACCTGTGACCCTGGCTGCCCTGGTAACTAGCAGCTGGGTTTCCCACTCACTGCTAGGGCTCTATCCCTAGCTGTTCCTGCTTTAAGGAGCAGGGCACCTGCGTGCTCTGCAACAGGGGACTTTACATTTTGGTCTGTGAACAAGTAGGCCAAAGCTGCTGTGATGATGGGCAGGATGCATATACATTTGTTTTAGTGTTCTTGAAAAAAATCTTCAGATCCTGCCCTCCTCTTCCCTCTTCAGGGTACTTCCCCAGAACTAATGAGGCTTCCAATAAACAATTCCTTAAAACCAATGGAGATTTTTCTTTCTAACAAGACTCCACAGACCCCAGCATTTATTTAGTAGTCTTTACGTTTTTTTCTAAAAAGATAAATAAAGCCAACACAAATATGTTTTTCTTCGAATAAATTGAAAAGTTTATTGGAACAGGTTTATACTGTACATTTTAAATGAGCAATATTTCATCATTTGTTGAAACTATTTTTTTCTTCTTCCTGTTTTCATTAGTGGATGAAAATCTTGACCAAACATTAAGTCCAGAAAAAGTATTTTTGTACCGGTATCAAAAAACAACTTTAAACATGAGGACTTTTTTCCTATGTGAAAATTAAGCAAAAAACTCCAAAACAAAACAAGACTCAAAATAATCACAAAAAGTTTAAAATCTCAAATGTGCAGGTTTATCAAAACAGTCACAAGAACTACATAGCATTTGTGAAATATAGTTACACTGGAAATCCTCCAAATTTAATCACAGATGTTGTAATGTATGTAAAACAAACTAGAAGATTATCATTTTGACTCATGATTGGCTTTTATTTTTACACTGTTCATTAATCACATTACTTCCATTAACAATTTATTCTTCTGTCTTGTATTTTTAATGCAAACCATGATAGAAAAAAATAATTCAGGCTAATGCACTTAGTCAAAACAAAGAAAGTGCAGCAAGTTCCTTTTATAATAAATGCTTCATATGGAAAGATAAATAACAAAAAATAAAAATGAATTAAAGTGCCCTAATATGAAACCATTTCAATTTTAAACATTTGCAATTTATGCATTTAAAAAGTGAAATATGCATTTGCTCAAAATCTAAACAGTGTGAGGTGTGCATATTTTGTGTGTATGTGTATACATATGCATAAGCACATACATACATACATACATACATACACATGTGTAATTATATTATACATGAATGTATGTTCCATAATTAAAACATAACTTTTGGATCAAAAATATAACCATAGGTGTACACAGATTTACCCATTATCACATGGGACCTTATGCATAACAGCTGTGAACAGAAGGGAGCTTGGTCTATTAAATATAAACCATTTTATCAATGTCCTCTTTTTTATTTAAAAAATAATTGCTCTTTTAGAACCCTTAAGTGCAGTAGATTGGAATGGGAGTTGTTCTGGTGGATTTTAAGTTGAGTGAATCCTTTGAAGTGTCCAAACTCTGGGTTGGGCTTCTGTTGTTGGTAAAAGAAGTCTGTCTTCCTCTGGTGCTGTTAGAATCTTCTTTATTGAGTGGGTGCTTTATTTTTTGACAGCAAGGGAAGCCTTGTACTAAAGGAAAACATTTACTAAAGGACAAACCTTTACTAAAGGCTTGTACTAAATGAAAACTAAATAAAAGCAGGATTTGCCCCCACAATCCAGGCCTACAGTCCATACACAACGGAAGATTTGCATGACTACAGACTGCAGGACTGGAATCTTAAAACAAACAATTGCAGCCACTCTCGGTTATTATTGGAGAGTCCAGCAGAGGGCAACAAGAATAGTTAGGAGGCTGGGGAACATGACTTATGAGGAGAGGCTGAGGCAACTGGGCTTCTTTAGTCTAGAGAAGAGAAGACTGAGAGGGGATTTAATAGCAGCCTTCAGCTATCTGAAGGGTGTTTACAAAGAAAATGGTGCTAGACTGTTCTCAGTGGTGGAAGATTACAGAACAAGGAGCAATGATCTCAAGTTGTAGCAAGAGAAGTTTAGGTTAGATATTAGAAAACACTTTTTCATGAGGAAGGTAGTAACATACTGGAACAGGTTACCCAGAGAAGTTGTGGAAACTCCATCTTAGGAGGTTTTTATTTAAGATCTGGTTAGACAAAGCCTTGACTGGGATGATATAGTTGGGGATGGTCCTGCTTTGATCAGGAGGTTGGACTAGATGACCTCCTGAGGTCCCTTCCAACCCTAATTTTTCTATGATTCAATACTGTTTGGAAAGGTAATGGGATAGGAATGGTTACATTTCTCTTCCTATGTTAAAGTAGTGTTGCAATCTAAATTGCTTCTAGGCCAACATGTTAGTACTAGTTCTTGCGGAAACAAATAAAAGATAACATTAACTCTGTTTAGAAAATAATGGCCACTGGTGTTCCTTCTGTATCAGGTGCCTAACACTGGCATAACTAGGGCTAGGCAAACAGGGCAACTGCCCTGATGCTGACTTGGTAGCATAAGGAAGCTGAAAAAACCAGCTGCTGCTGGCAGCCAGGTGATTGTGAAGCAACCAAAAGTCATCCTCTGACTGACTCTGTACCCCAGGCACCCATCTGTATCCCTACACTACTAGTGCACAAGTTCTACTTTCCTTTATGTCATTAATGTTTTTCAGAAAAATAATTTATAGCCTTCCTTTACAGCAGTGCAAGAGAGTTTATTTAGCAATATAATACCTTTCATTTTTATGGTTACCTTTAGAGCTCCTTGTTAACAGTATTAGTGCCTTTGACCAGTTTAAAGTGCTATGCTGTTTAAGAGTCATAAGGGCTGCAATAGTCACAAGTGCTGATACTTTTCTGTTCTGTGGTCAATGGCTCAAGTTGGAATGGAAGTTGTTCTGGTGGATTTTAAGTTGAGTGAATCCTTCAAAGTGTCCAAACTCTGGGTTGGGCTTCTGTTGTTGGTAAAAGAAGTCTGTCTTCCTCTGGTGCTGTTAGAATCTTCTTTATTGAGTGGGTGCTTTATTTTTCGACAGCAAGGGAAGCCTTGCATACAGTCTTGCAGGAGGTGACCGCTAAAGAACATGTAGATCCATGGATTGCAACAACTATTCAGGCTGGCCAACAAAGCAGTTACTGTAACTGCGGTGTTTTCAGAATCTATTGGGGGAAAAAAGAGTTAACTTAGTAACAAAAGAATGGCAGCAGTTTCTTCACCATTTTGATTATTTTATGTTAACTGCTGAACAAATGTATGAAGGAAAAGCAGTCCTTGAACTAAGCAGTGACTAATATTTAAACTCAGCAAAAAGGGTGCAATCCAGAAAGACCTTACCCAAGTAAAACTCCACTGAAGCCAATAGAACACCTGTGTGAACAAAGATGAAGGACTTCTGGTATGGGATCTAAGGGCCAGGAAAGCACTTGAGTACACAATAAACTTTATAGTCAATAAAGTGTGCACAGACCTGCTCCCATAAATATTCAACATGTGTTGGCATCTTAATTCCCAAGCCTGAAGTCCTTACTAAATTTATATTCAGACATTTGCCTACATATTTTCCTCCAAAAGTTTCATGCTGTGTGATCCAAAGCCTACTGAAATCAATAAAAAGATTCACATGACTCTAAATTGAACACAACTTTTAATGGTAGAGATCAAAGCCCTGAAAGAAAAATCTAAAATATTATGTCATAGAAAAAAAATTCTCCTCCTCCTTTTACTGAATTAAATTGTTACGTGCTTTCAAGAATATTCAGTTGTAAGTAGCTTTTCTTTGTAATTATCAAAGCTCTACAAGGATACATTTGCTGTGTTAAGTACTTCCACAAAATGAATTAAAATGTCTCAGATAGAAATTTTAAATAGTTTTCTCATTTTGAAATGAGACTTGTACTATTAGTTTCCCTCAATGCTTCATTTCTATTTCTATATGAACATCTATATATGCATTGTCATTTGTGGCTTCACTGCATGTTTCTTATGAAATGAAAGCTCTTGCTGAGACTCTAGGGGCTGAAATACTATCTGAAGCTTGCAATCTCACACACTTTACATATTCTTATATTTACATAATGTATACATGCACACATACATCACAGAGAAATTGCTTCCAGAATTTTATTCACAAGAATGGCATTACATCTTCTGTGCTATTTCTGAAATGGATTAATTAAGTTAAAAATGCACATTCCTGGAGCTTGGAAGTTTAGGGAACTCTTTATTGATGGTTCCAATAAATGCAGATATTTCAATCTTGACATTACTTGAAAAAAATCACAAAGAAACAGCAATAGTTTCTTTCACAGAAAGCTTCTTCATTACAAATAGTAGTCACACATCTTCTGAAAGCTTTCATAAAGTATTTGACTTAGTACTTTTTAAGCTGAAGATGTTTTTGATCACTTGGCTGTGGGGAAAAAAAATCCCAGCAGAATTACGTGCAAAATTCCTTTTTTAATGTTTGTTGAACAGTAGAAATATTGCAAGCCAAACATTTAAGTGAGCACTAAACCTTTAAACAAGCAAACAAAAGTGTGGACAGCCTCCCTGATTACTGCAAAGGAATATCAAGTGTTAGGGTGTTTTTAAGCCTCTCTCATAGACACTGGATGTTGGCTACAGCCAAGGATGGTGACTGACTGGGATGTGCCAATGTTCCTGCTGGAATTAAAGCTAGAGGTTCCTAGCCAGAGGGTCTCCACTCAGGGTCAGACTGATCATCGTATTTGGTCAGGAAGGAATTTTACCCATGGTCACATTGGTATGGGCTGTGGGGGTTTTTGCCTTCCTTTGTAGTGGGGAATGGGGGCCTCTACTCTGGTACTCTTGGGCATATATTGGCAATGGTTCATAGAAGCAGGACCTTGGCTGCTGTGATTCCCCTGCTTTACCTGTGGCAGATTAGAGTGTTAGGTCTGTGTTGTATCAGGGGTGATGGTAGAAGTTTAAAATAGATGATGGACTGTATGGGATGATTTAAATAGGGCTGGTCCTGCCTCAGATAGGGGACTGGACTAGATCAGTGGTTCCTATCCTTTTTTATACCAGGACCCATTTGTGAACATTAATGGCCAGTCCTCACCTAGTGCCCTTCACTCTTGACCAGCTGTCCCCTGTCCCCAGGCCCCCAGTGTATAGGGAATGGGGGCCCCAAGCAGCTTCTTGCAGGCTGGAGGTCTGTCAGCCTGCAAAGGGAAAAGCCATGGTTTCCTGCATTTTTCTCCTTTAAAGGAGAATCCATTTTTAAAGTTTGTTCATGATCCTTTCACATATTCTTGTGACTCATTTTTGGGTCTCAACGCATAGGTTGAGAAATACTAAGCGAGATGACCTCTGGAGGTCCCTTCCAGCCCTGCTTCTGTATGAATCTATGAAGTGATACCAGCAGCTTGGAAACTGCAGGCTTGCAAAAAAGAAACGCATCTACAACGATTTAGGAAAACTTGGCAGGAAAAATGTTTATAGGCTTCAGACAAGCACTCTGGTAAATAAAAGCTGCTAGGAGGCCCTCTTTATGCCTGGGCAAGGATTTGAGTACTCAGCTGCATCTTTCCTGTTCACGTGATGACACCTGATCTCTTGCTGCAGCTTCACTCAAGGGGGAGCTGCAAGCTAGCTCCCCCTTGATGCCTAGCAGCAGAGCTGGGTCGGGCAGTAGAAAGCTCCACGGCAGCTTTCAGCTGAGAATGGGATCCCGCACACCCCGGTGCTCACTGTTGATTGAGATGGGATCCCCCATCCCTCCCCAAATTACCTATTTATTTCGAGACCTGCTGAAGAGCCTCTTGCATTGGCAGATTTCTCTGCTGTGTCCCAACCAGCAGGGGCAACAGAAGGGAGCCGAGCCTCTGGTGCTCTTTCCCGTTTCCCCTCTTTCAGCAGCAAACTTGGGGACAGCCATCCCGAGAGCATCCTGCACCCAGCACCACTCATCCAGCGGCCAGCAGGAGCACAGCTCCCCGTCCGCTGCTCCTCCCAGGCCATCTGACAGGGGTGCAGCAGGGAGACCCCGGGCCTCGATTCCCCCCCAGAACCAGCCCTGCGGATGCCCAGGGGAGGGCGGGCGGGGGCTGCCCCTGCCCCTCCGTTGGTTGCAGCGACCCCGGGAGCGCCCCAGCCCTGCACCTACCGACCCACTCGAAGTGCTGGTCCCAGACGGACCACATCTGGATGGTGAAGAAGGGCGCCCAGCACACCACGTAGGCCGACACGATGACGAAGGTCATCTTCACCGTGCGGATCTTGGCCCGCGAGATGCTCTTGACGCTGCTGACGCAGGGGAAGCCCACCCCCGCGCCCGCCCTCGCCCCGGGCCCCGGCGGCCGCGTCTTGCCCCGCACGTTGCTCCAGATGCGGGAGCAGATGAAGCCGTAGCAGGTGGCCAGGACCAGCACGGGGGCCACGAAGATGCCGCCTGTGATCCACGTGACGTAGGCGCGGGACCCCCAGGGCGTGACGAAGTGCGCCCAGCAGTCGTAGACCCCGCTGCGCACCTCGCTGAGCGAGAAGATGAAGTACTGCGGCGTGCTGAGCACGAAGCTGAGCGCCCAGGCCGCCGCCACCATGCCCCGCGAGCGCCGGGCCGGCTGGCGCAGCGTGCGCAGGGGGTGGCACACGGCCAGGTAGCGGTCGGCCGTCATGGCCACCAGCACGTAGGCCGAGGCGAACATGCCGAAGACCTGCAGGTGCTTCACCACGCGGCACAGCCCGTCGGGGCCGCGGAAGCGGTACGTCACGTCCCAGCACAGCTGCGGCAGCACCTGGAAGAAGGCCACGGCCAGGTCGGCCAGGCTCAGGTGCCGGATGAAGAGGTGCATGCGCGAGGCCGGCCGCGCCGAGCGCCGCAGCGCCAGCAGCACCGCGCCGTTGCCCAGCACGGCCGCGCCGAAGGCCAGCGCCAGCACC